ACAAAAATTAACTCAAGATGGATTAAAGACTTAAATGTAAGATCTAAAACTGTAAAAACCCTAGAAGAAAACCTAGGTAATACAGTTCAGAATATAGGCGTGGGCAAATACTTCATGACTAAAACACTTCATAAGTAAAGCAATGGCAGCAAAAGCCAAAATTGACAAATGGGATCTAATTAAACTAAAGATCTCTGTAGAGCAAAGAAAGCATCATAAGAGTGAACAGGCAAACCCACAGAATGGGAGAAAATGTTTGCTATCTATCCATCTGACAAAGATCTAATATCCAGAATCTACAAGGAACTTAAACAAATTTACAAAAAAAAAAAAACCAAGAACCCCATCAAAAAGTGAGCAAAGGATATAAACAGACACTTCTCAAAAGAAGACATTTACATGGCCAATAAATATATGAAAAAAAGCTCATCACCACTAGTCATTAGAGATATGCAAATCAAAACCACAATGAGAAACCATCTCACACCAGTTAGAATTGCAATCATTAAAAAGTCAGGAAACGACAGATACTGGCAAGGATGTGGAGAAATGGGAATGGTTTTACACTGTTGGTGAGAGTGCAAATTAGTTCAATCATTGTGGAAGACAATGTGTGGTGATTCCTCAAGGATATAAAACTAGAAATACCATTTGACCCAGCAATCCCATTACTGGGTATATACCCAAAGGGTTATAAATCACTCTAACGTCACATGCACATTTGTGCTTATTGTGGCACTGTTCAAAATTGCAAACACTTGGAACCCATTCAATGTCCACAAAGAAAATATGGCACAAATACACCATGAAATATGGTGCAGCCATAAAAAAGGATGAGTTCATGCCCTTTGTAAGGACATGGATGAAGCTGGAAACCATCATTCTCAGCAAACTAACAAGTGATCAGAAAACCAAACACCGTATGTTCTCACTTATAGGTGGGAGTTGAACAGTGAGAAACATGGACACAGGGAAGAGAACATTACACACTGAGGCCTGTTGGTGAGGGGTGAGGAGGGATAGCATTAGGAGAAATACCTAATATAGATGACTGGTTGATGGGTGCAGCAAACCACTATGGCACATGTATACCTGTGTAACAAACCTGCAGATTCTGCCCATGTACCCCAGAACTTAAAGTATAGTAATAATTAAAAAATAGCTTCAGTTTGAAGACTGCACCCTCTTTGTCTTACAGGAGACAATTACATGGTGTTTTCTTTCCTACATTAAAAATACATGGTCCGAGAATTGAGGAGTGAAAGTAGAGTGAACCTTCTCACTAATATGCCACAGAACATCAGCACTGCAGGTTTTGGGGAAATGGTTCCACTGGAAAACATAAAAATGAATCCACTGATGTCGAAGCTGAGACTTTCACCTGGCCATTTTTCATGTCTTATGCCACTGAAGGAATAAATGAGCAGGGGAATTACCCTAATGGCTGAAGTGATTGATCTGAACTACCAGAGAGAAATTGAGTTTCTCTTGGACTTCACCTTATCTACTTTTTTCCCTTTGCTAATTTTAACCTGTATCCCTTGTCTGTAGTACAATGTAACCATAAATGCCAAAAAAAAGTTAGCCAAAAATTAAATAGCAACAATAATAGTGGCTAATATTTATTGACTTATTTCTATGTATCAAATATGATTCTAAGTGCTTTACAGTATTAATTCATTGAATTATCCAAACTTTTTTATGAAATAGATGTTAGTATTGTCACCACTTAGCATTTAAGGAACATAAAATGCAGGATAGGTAAACATAAATGAAATGCTGTCAAAAAGCTGTTATTGATGTTGTGCCCAGAGGGGAAGATTGTCTATTTCATCAGTTATTATTTTCATTAATATAATTAGTTTATACTTTTGCTTTATGAACTCATTTCTTTTGAGTTTGGCGAATTTGATTTTCTTTTTCTTAATCATTTTTTATTAGGAATGTAAATATTAATTAGTAATAAAGTAAAGGAGGTGGAATAAGAACAGTAACAATGGGCTACTGGTGATTTCCAGCTAATCTTACTGATATGAGCCTGTTTGTCACACAGTGTAGAGAGAAGCCTCAGAATCTTTAATGAGTTATCATAATGAGATATTTTACCATGTGGTATATTCCTAACACAAATAATGACTGGAAATAGTTGCACAGGTTTATGTAATTAAGCAATTAAAAAGTATCAATGGATTATATTTGATGACCACACGCACCTGTAAACACATTGAACAAATAAGTATAAATGTATGGAGACCAAACCAAACATCTGTATTCCTCGTGCTAAGTGATTCAAATTGTATTATTAATTTTCTGTAAAAACATATTATTTTTACACTGGGAAGATAATGTCCCATAGGATTTCTGTGAAAATTACCTGAATTGTATCATAGTGGCCCCCTTTTAATCAGAATTTGCATGTCGATATCTTGCTTATCCTTGATGATTCTAATGCTGTGAGATCCATGAGCATTAGTAAGATATTTTATAGTAAGGGTAAATGGTATTTGGAAGTCTTCTGAATCCAATTCCTCTCACAAAACTTTTGTCAGACAAATTTAATGTGTTCATAAAAATATATTCAAATAATAACATGTTTGAATTATCATTTCTTAATAGAAAGATAACTTCTGATTAAAGACTTTTCTAACTCTAGATTTACAAATTAGTCATAATTAGCTTGGAATAAACTATCATTTTATTAAAATTTATTTAATGTAGGAAATAAAGACAATAAACATAGGTTCTATATATTCTTGTTAAAGTTATTTAGGAATAACTTATTTCCACTGTAGTTCAGTATACATTACATATTGAGGCATATATTGCATATCATCTCAGTGTAGCATTTCTAATTCAGCTATGATTTTTAAATTATTCATCAAATATTGTATTTCTTTCTTTGTTATATTGATGAGAATATATTTCCAACAGTAATATATTTTTGCTTACTTTCCCTGCTGTGCTCATGTTGTTTCTTTCTTCTCTGCTGACCAGGAGACTGGTGAGTCCTTGTGGATTTCTTCTCTGCTTGAGTGCATAAGCAGATATTTATTGCACAGATATTTATTCTGTTTGCTTGTGTAACACTCATTTCCAATTCCACATGTGATCTACGTCTTTAAGCCACATCCATTGGATTACTCTCAGACTATCAAAACATAATGAAGGGAATATTGAACCAGCACTCAAAATATTGACTTTTCAAATTCCAGATAAGATTTTGTTTTCATTAGGTTAAATATTAAGTTAAAATGATACATTTTAATAACTGTCTCTTTTCCTCCCTCTCCCCCACCTCTTGAATTTCTTGTTTCTCTTCTCTCAATCCTACATAGGTCATTCTGCATTCCGTTTTGCCTTTGTCTGCACTAAGCTGTAAGTTTGAATCCACATGGGGCAGTTAGGAAGGAGGAGGAGTAAGAAAACAGGATAAACAAAGTAGGACAAAGAGAACACCCTCGTTGTCCTTACAGCAGAAAATCAGACACCCAGTCAGTCACAGCAAAGGGGATCACTGTGCCAGGCAATTCTGCTCCACTCAAAACTACTAAGTATGGACTGTGAACCTCCCTGTGTCAGGCACTAAGCTGGGTCTGGTGGAGTGGCAGTGATGGATAAGACACGACCTCTGCTTGTGCCAAGAAGCAGTATGGGGCAGCGGTGATGGCATGGCTTTTGGGACCAGGCAGACCCTATTCCTTACTAGTTCTGTGTACGTGGACTTACTATTTCACTGATTTTTTTTGCCTTAGTTTCCTTATCTGTAAGATGAAGATGAATAATAGCATCATTTTAAAGGACTGTTCAATGAATAAATAAAATAATCCATGTAAAGCACTCATAATGGAATTTGGCAGATAAAAGCACCCTCCTAAATGTTAGCCATGATTATTATCCATAAAATAAATCTCACAGTTTATGGGGAAAAGACACATAGCCTCAAAATCTACATATCAGCCTGGCTGGGAAGTACCCCATCACAGGGGTCAGTTAGTGGTTTGGGAGCAGAGAAGAAGGTGCAATCAGAATGAAGGACTCTGAGGAGGCATTGTAGAGGAACAGGCATTTGAAGTAGATTTTAAGTAATTGTGAGAAATCAAGCAAAATCCTCACTGGATTATTTCTACTGTCCTTTGATCAATGTAACTAGTATCCTCATGGCTTTCCAAGAATAGGAGCTTGATTTTTCTTTTATCCACACTTGGAGGCATCATAAAATTATATGAGCAACTATTTAATTATATATAGTCTGTCAATATTAACAAGCTAGCATAAAGGACATATTTCTCAGTAAGCTTTAATTATCTAGACACTGAGATGCACACCAAGACCGAGAAACAGTCACCCAATAGAGAAGCAAAGCAGATCCTATGATTTCAGTTGCTTCTAGTTTGGAAATGTGCGAGGGATAGAAGATAGCCCCAGATAACGTGGCTTTAACCTTCTCATCCAACTATTCCTCCCCATTCTCCAATACAGGGCCTATGTCCTTTAGAAGCTTTTATCTCTGTAGTCTTCCAAAGAGGAATCCATTCCTCACTCAAGCTCTTGCTCATGATGCTCTCTCTCTTCTTTTGTCTCCTTGCCCATTCAAATGCTATCCAGACTTTGAGACCGGGACAAGGTTGCCCTTGTGGAGGTACACTAACTCCATCTCACAGTTGTGCTTCACTTCTCTGCATCCCTGTCATACTAGCATCCCTGCTGTGGTTTTAGGGTCTATTCCCTTTTGTTGCCCTTTATATTTAGTGTAGAGATCAGTCTCATAAATTCTTTTAGAAATTTCTAGTCAGGAATGTTCTTAAATTTCATGTAAATCTTTAACTGTACCTAGTGTCATGTATACAGTAGATGTTTAATGAATGATTGTTGAATGCTTGTGCTCCTTTATGTTAGGACAGACACCGTTCTATCAGCAGTCCCATAATCCAGAAGATCTGGTGCCTCCTCTTTAGGGGATTACAGATTAACAGACTACCTGTGGGTCCAGTAGACAAGACAGAGGACACTCCTGTGAATCAGGAAGTGGTCAGTACCAGGAGAATTTATTGTGGAATTGAAGGAGGAAGATACTACTCTATCTTTTCATTGTGCATTCTCAGCTCTTAATGCCTGGCACAGGGTAAGTGCTCAGATATTTGTTGACCAAATTAAGTGAATGACTTCTACTTTGAGAGTGAAAAAGCCTTGAAACAAAGATATTTTATTAAGATTTATCAAGAAAGATCAGTGCAATTGACAGGTATAGATACAATCAACATATGGACAAAGAATAGCAAAAACTTTTTTCTCTTATAGTATCCCCTTTTATACATTTTTCTGTTTAATCCATCTCACACCTGTAGACATAGAATTTAAGGGAATTATAGCCACTACCCCCTTGTTTTCAAGGCCCAAATGAATTTAGAAATGTGGTATCCACTTAAGAGCTTCCATCACTTCGTAAACACATGGCTCCATGAACTGCCAAAAGCACTTTGGTACAAACTCCATAAAATCAGGAGATCTTTCTTAATGCCATCTGGCAACACTCTGTGCTTACTCTCTGCCCTACATTCTAAAAGTTTAAATGGTCAGGAGCAAAGAGCAGTTATCACCTGATTGAGAGTCAGTGTTCTAGTATCATAGGGCCATGGCAGGACTGGAGCAACATCTATAATGTCCAAAGGTAACCCTATCAATCTCTAAGGGTCATTGGGTCAGCGATCCCCTGTGTGCTAGGCAGAATAATGGCCCTCAAAGATAGCAGTCTAGGAATATGTTGCTTTACATGGCAAAAAATGGATTTTGCAGATGTGATTCAGCTAAAGGTCTTGAGATAGAAAGATTAGCTTGGATTATCCAGGTGGACCTAATCTAATCTTATGGCTTCTTAAAATTCAAGAGCTTTTCCAGGTTGTGGTCAAAGAGGGAGACGTGTCTACTCACAGACTGTAGGTGGCCATGTTTGCAACAGGGGCATGTTAATTTTCTATTGCTGATGTAACAAACACCACAAGCGCTCTTGGAAGGTTAGTGGAAGGCAAGAACTGGCATCTCTAACATAATTATACAGGTAATGATGAGTAGTGCGGAGATGTGACTCCAAAGCCTCAAGAAGGACAGACCAGCACCTCTGTAAAAGATCTGTCTCCTTCTTCCCATGGGGCCATAATTTACGTGCATCTAAGAAATAATATTGTAACTGGAAGAAAGTATCTTCAGTACAAATTCTTCATTTTTGAGGTTAAATGGTGAGGCAAAATGGTAAGATTAATATTAAAGATTGATAGAAAAAATTATAACATTTCACGTATGTGCATAAATAAACTTTAATGCATGTTTAGGATGAGGTGCAAAATGAAGAGCAAGAGAGGGACCTTAGTCGCAATAAATAGAACTTGAGAATGAAATACTCTATAGAAATATTACAATAAATAGAATAAATTTTATGTTCCTAGAGAAATTTTTGAAAATACCCACATTCAAAGCCATGAATTTTTACTCAGTTAGTATTTAATTTTGATTTTTGGCCCTGAAGCCAAAGATGTCAAGGGAGCTGAACTGCTTGCTGGATTGGTTGTGGCTGTGGAGCCCACAATTCTGCCAAGAAGAGCATCTGTGAGAGAGCAAAATGTCTGTTTACATTACTCCTGTGAAGGGAGTTGGGAAATTATCTAGGAAGCCCAATCCAAAAGCAAAGATGTTCAATCCAGTCTTCTTTGTGAGAGCCAAACTACAAATCACCTAAATGTTCCACAAATGATTTACTGATGTACTTTAAATGAGTTAGTGATGTATTTTTTTTTTTTTTTGAGATGGAGTTTCGCTCTCGTTACTTAGGCTGGAGCGCAATGGCGAGATCTCGGCTCACCACAATCTCTGCCTCCTGGGTTCAGGCAATTCTCCTGCCTCAGCCTCCTGAGTAGGTGGAATTACAGGCACATGCCACTATGCCCAGCTAATTTTTTGTATTTTTTAGTAGAGACGGGGTTTCACCATGTTGACCAGGATGGTCTCCAAATCTTGACCTCATGATTCACCCGCCTCAGAGTGATTTATTTTAAATGAGTTATTAATGTTTCCTTTTTCCCATGGGGCCATAATTTACGTGGATCTAAGAAATAAAACTGTAACTGGAAGAAAGTAACTTCAATACAAATTCTTTATTTTGGGGGTTAATCTGATAATTTGCTTGGTAGGTGCTGTAAAGTATAATTAGTGAGATGATGTAGAAATACCAAGTGTTTATTAAAACAGTACAAAGTAATACACATGGTATGATTGTCACAGTATAAAAATATCTAAAAGCCAAAGAGTTCTTTAATAGTGGAGAATTTTTTCCTTTATGAAATTAAAAATATAATGTTCTATAAAAAATACAAATGATTACTATTAATATCTAACATTCATGGAGTGCTGAATTTCCTCATTTCTGTGCATACATTGCCTCATTTAGTGCAATGTTTAGCATTAACTTATCACGTAGGTACCATTGCCATGCACATTTTACAGATGAAGACATTGAGGTTTAGAGGGATTGCATAAAGTTCCCAATGGAACACAGCTAGTGGTGGAGCCAGGATCCCAGGAAGCCTAACTTTAGAGTTGAATAACCTAAATAGCAATAAAATAGCTAATATCCTTGTCACTCTCAGCATGTGTCATTTACTGTTCTAAATGCTTTGCAATGAACAGGTCATGTAAACCTCACGATAACTCTATGAGGTAGATTCTACTATTATTACCATTTTATAGACACATATTTTTTATGTCTTTGTCAGGCTTAAAGCCACTTTTGAGTTTTCTAGCATATTTTCCCAGAACACGTCAACTTTATTTTCATTTAAATTGCTTGAGACACAGCATGATTGTTGACATAGTCACTGGCAATGTTATTCACAGCTGTGTATCTCCCTGGAGTCTTTGACTTACTCCCAAGTGTGGAGGAGGTGCTCTGCATCTGGCCACACCTGCCATCCTGGAGCCTCCCCATCCTCGTCCTGGGAATCCCTTCCCTCTCCCCAGGGTGAGGGCATCAGCTTCTCAGATACCACATCTTTCTTTGAATTAATTTATCAGTTTGGGGGAACTTCATTAGTTATCTTCTGGAGAAAAGGTACGCCCACGGGTGAATTTATGAGATCTCTTATGCTTCTATTGGCATTCTACTCTGTTGTAATGAGTTTTAATTCTCAATAGTTTTTTTTTTACGGCATCATATTCTTTTTTATGTATATAATATATTTTTACAAATATTAAAAATAGCTTTTAAAAAGATTCTGGATTTTTTCATTTCATGGATTATTTCTTCTGGCTTCTTTTTATCTTGTTTTGTTTCTCTCTTTCCCATTACAAAGCTGGAATCACCCCACACATCTGATGACCTTGGTTGTCTTCTGTTGTAGGATGGGAAGCTCTGAATACATGGGTGGCATCTGTGTCATGTGAGATTCGCTATAGAACTATCTGGTGGGCTTAATTGCTGGGGAATATAATGTCAGTCAGGGTGGGTCTTTTCTCTTGGGCTAGTCAGATTTTTCAAAGGATGATTTTGGAATTTTCCATGTAGAAGACAGATGCCCAGCTGCAAACACTCTATGGCCCAAGGAGGCAACTGCAAATCCAAATATAAGCTGCTTGGGAGAAAAAAAGGCAACATCAAGGACTCCCCAGGTAACTCCAAAAGCCTGTTCACATTAACCTTGCAAAACGATAGCCAAAAATTGATTGGACCTTGTAATAATCTCATTTTTTAATGGCTCTTAAAGTTTTTTATTAAGACCTGCAAGAATATTTTTATGTCCAGACTTATATGTCTGCCTTTGATAATCTTAGGCTCCCGAATGATCCAGTTAGAAAACATTTCCACGGATCTGTTACTCCCCTCTGAGTAACATCTTCCTAAGGCTTTATAGGTGGCTGAGATAGTTTATATTATTCTGACAATTATTTGGTCAGACTCTTTTTTAATAATAAAAACTATAATTACAATACCTTGATTTCACAATTACATGTACATGATGGCAGCTGGAGCCTTTCTTTACAGTTTCTTTATAAGTTAAAAAGTAATAAAATTATAAATCTCATTCTTGCCAGTAAAACTAAACAGTTATGGTTAAAAAGTTAACTTCATTTCTTCAGCTCTTTTCAGATCATGGTTTCTGAGATGAACAGCCTGTTCTGTACATTTCTATGTCTTTCCCTATACACATACAAACCTATATATAATGTCTACAAATTTTAATTATTTTGTCTTTCACAAAAATTGGATCTCACAATACACATTACTGTGTACCTCGCTTCTTATACTTAGTGATGCATTATATTAAGCCCTCCAGATTTTAAGATATAATTTTTTTTTGAGATGAGTACTTGCTCTGTTGCATAAGCTGGCGTGCAATGGTGCCATCATGGCTCACTGCAACTTCTGCCTTCTGGACTCCAGTGATCATCCCCTCTCTGCCTCCTAAATAGTTGGAAGTACAGTTGCATGCCACTATGCCTGGCTAATTTTTGTGCTTTTTTTGTAGAGACAAGTTTTTGCCATTTTGCCCAGGCTGGTCTCTTAACTCTTGAGCTCAAGGGATCTCCCTGACTCGGCTCCCAAAATGCTAGAATTACAGGTGTGTCCCCCCACATCCGGCTCCCTATTTTTTTTAAAAGAGCCACTTACCATTCAAAATAGGGAGTTATCATTTCTTATTCTGCCAATCAATCAGACAGTATAAAATTATTTTTCTTTTACAAATAAGACTGCAGTAAGTAGCCTTGTCTCTGTATTCTTACACACAGATACTTTTGTTTCTATGGAGCCAATTCCCAAGTGTGATATAGCTTGGGGTGTGCATGTTGTAAATGTTAATAAATACCACAAATTGCTTCTCGAAAACCTATGACAATGCACATTTCTACCAACAGTGTAAGCTAATAGATGAGCAATGATATCTAATTTTGCTTTGTTTTGTATTTTTTGGCCATTACCAAGGCCCAATGCCATTTAATATGCTTGTTGGCCCTTTAAATTTCCTCTTCTGTGAACTTCCATCATGGTTCATTTTCCTATTATCTATTTTTAAATAAAAAACACTTGGATACCACAGATATCATTTTTTGTCAATCATATATGTTGAAAATGTTTTTTGTCTATTTTTTATAGTTTATTTGTTTATATCAAAATTAGAAAATTTTATCCATGCTCAAAATTTGATTTGAAATACTCTGATAAAATGTTTAGTCAACCTCCCACTTTGTTTTTATGTATCATGAGGGGTTGAAAAATCGAAGCAATATATTCTTATAAGCATGCACATTTTCTCCCTGTCCTCTTCAGCTTTGTGTTTGCCATCCTGTTTCAGCACCTACAAAGTCACTTCTGTGGAATATTTGGTCATAGACCTAGCCAATAATTTCTACACTGGAATACATATTCATATATAAATACAATCACTTAACTATATACCTCAGTTGCCCCATAGTGAAAATTCCTTTACATATTATTCTTAAAAGTCTTAAATAGAAGCAGGATGAACAAATTTCTTTAATAACTTTTTAAAGAATGTCAATCACATCCTTTAATAATTTAGAGGAACTTGACATTGAGAGCTTCCTCATGAAATCTATTGTCATGTTGTGTGCTATGGACTGAAGGTTCATGTTCCACCAAATTCATGTGTTGAGGTCTAATCCCCAATGTGACGGTATCTGGAGGTGGGGCTTTTGGGAGGTGATTCCACCCTCATGAATGGGGTTAGTGCCCTTACAAGAAGAGACACAGGTGATCATTCTGTCAGTCATGTGAGGACACAGAGGGAAGGTGTCTGTCTACAGTCCAGGAAGTTGACCTTCACCAGACACCAGATCTGTTGGCCCCTTGGTCTTGTACTTTCCAGCCTACATAACTGTGAGAAATAAATGTTTGTTGTTTAAGCCACTCGGTCTGTTATGTTTGTTACAGCAGTGCAAACTTATTGAACCATGATGGTAGACAGAATTCTAAGCTGACTCCCTCGACTCCAGCTCCCTGGTTTACATGCCTTGTAGAATTCCTTATGTTTATGCGAGAATGGAACCTTTGAATATGATGAGACAGCCACTCCCTACATTAGGCTGTGTTATGGAGCAAGTGCTGGTGGAAGAGTCATGTGTGTGATTAGTGATTATCTGACATTATAGAAGACTCTGTTGTGTTAGACTTGAGGGATTTGGGAGTCAGGAGTTTGTGAGCATGAGAGGGTGTGCTGAGGGAACCATGCTGAGATTGTTTCCTGGTCCACAGCCAGCAAGAAACTAGAAGCCTCAGTCTCACAGCCACCAGGAACTGAGTTCTGACAACAGCAAAGTAGCCTGAAAGACAGACCCAAGTTCCAGAAAGGAACACAGGCCAGCCAATACCACTGAGACCCCAGCTGGAGCAACTAGTTCAGCTGTTCCCAGATATTTGATCTGCAGAAACCATGAGAGAATAAATGGTGCTCATTCAAGCCAATAATTGTGTGGTAATTTGTTGCTCAGAAATATAAAACTAACATACATGTGAATAAATGTTTTATATAATTAATCACCTTTAACTCTGGTTATCTTTTCAAGTACATTTTCAAAAAATTTACAGTAAACTTTTATGTGTAATCAAGGGAGATGTTTTGAAAGGGATCTCTTCCAGGAAAGCCTTCAGAAAGAAGAGAGAATTTGGACAATTTTTTCATAATTTGAAGAAGACTGGTGACTAGAGATGGCAGTGTCTCTGGGAGAAGATTTTGACTTGTAGGAAGGCATAAAATGACAAAATAATGTAACTTACTAAAAGTGTTTAAAAATAAAAAATTCAGCTTCAAATAGAAAATTGTACGGACTAGAAACAAGGTCTAGCATAGTTTATGAAAGATTGTGATGTAAGAATTGAAACATGGTGTAACATAATTTTAGAATTATATACGGGCTAAACAATAAAATTGCTTTTATTTCTGCTTCTGATATTCACAGAATGAGTTTTAAGTGGAGAATTTATCCAATAACTTTTGCAGTTATGAAAAAGTAACAAAGAGACTTTAAGGACTCCATTTTTAATTAGGGTCAGAGATTCTTGCTCCACAAAAATGATGAAGGGTCAGCCCTACAACAGCTGTACACCCTGTTCTTAATAGTTCCTGAATCTTAATCAGGACTTTGGAACAATCAGACTTTGGAACCATTAAGGATACTTAATTAGGACTTTGGAACAATCCGGACTTTGGAACAATTCTTAATGGTGGTAAACTTTGCATAAACAACTGCATTTGAAAATCCTAGAGGGCCTTCAAACCCATCAGGGCCATTTCCAAACTTAACCATTGCTATGGTTTGAATGTTTGTGTCCTTCAAAACTCATGTTGAAATTTAGTTGCCACTGTAATAGTATTAAGAGGCGGAACCCCTAAAGAAGGAAGTAGACTGGTCAGGCCCAGTGGCTCACACCTGTAATCCCAGAACTTTGGGAGGCTGAGACAGATAGATCACTTGAGGTCAGCAATTCGAAACCAGCCTGGCCAACATAGTGAAACCGTGTCTCTACCAACAAATACAAAAATTAGCCAGGTGTGGTGATGGAATTCTGTAATTGCAGCTACTTGGGAGGCTGAGGCAGGAGAATCGGTTAAACCTGAGAGGCAGAGGCTGCAGTGAGCCAAGATCATGCCATTGCACTCCAGCCTGGACAAGAGAGTGACACACTGTCTCATAAAAATACATACATACATACATACGTAGGCCATAAGTCTTTGCCAGTATGGGTGCGGTTAATTTGACATTACGGAAAGGTAGGTTTAGCCTTTTCTTGCTCTGTCTTACTCTGTCACCTTCTACCATGAGTTGATCTAGCAAGAAGGCCTTCAACAGATGTTGGTACCTTGACACTGAGCTTCTCACCCTTCAGAACTGTAAGTTAATAAGTTTCTGTTCATTATAAATCACCCAGTCTCAGGTATTCTGTTATAGCAACAGAAAATGGACTAAGACAATCAGCTTTCTCACAAATACCTGACAACTGTCTTTAGATCCTAAGTTGGTAAAGGGGCCAACCATCTGCACCCAGTTGTTAGATCGACACTTTGGAATTAGCCTTCTCCCTCTTCCTTGTGTCCCACACTTTCTTGATCTTGATGCCATGTCACTGATATGTTTTACGAGTTTATCTAGTGTCCCACTTTTCCTTTGTCACTGCTTGAAACAGAAGCCATTCTGTCTTGTTATTAATAGCTGAAACCTTCTCATTCTCTCTGTTCTTTTCCTCACCTCTAATGCACCCTCTTCAAGACCAAATGAATAAGTTTAATATGCCAATCTGATCATATCATCAATATTCTCCAAAAAGTTTTAATAGAGTTCTTGTTCTTAGAGGGTAAAATCTAAACTTCTTGTAAGGAATCCAGGAATCACTGTTACTTGACCACAGACCTTTTTCATTGTGAAGTTTATAGGCCTTTAACACTAAGGGCTTGTAATTCCCTAACATGCTCTGCTGTTTCCTGCTGAACCCTTGGTCTTGGGTGCCTTCCTTTAGTTTTGCTTCTGTCAAACTCTTCATTCTTTAAATTTAGGCATAAATATTCGTATTAGGTAACAATCAAAAGAATGTAACTTTCAGGTTAAACATTGCCATTTTCACCCTGAGATATTCATTTTGGATGTAATGGTTATCTCTGCTCCCCTACACTCTTCTTTTTGCTCAGAGCTATTGGTGAGATGGAGAGCAGAAAGCTTGCAGAGCCTCAAACCTCTTTTAATCTCAGAAGTCAACCAGCACATTCTTGAATGTCCTCTGTCTTTAAATGTCCCTGAAGGGACATTTGAGAAGATATCAAACGTAAAATAAATGGTATTTAACTGCTCCAAATTCTTTCTGCTATTCATTACAGTTTGAAGATTTTGGAAAGATTAAATCAAAAGCCTTAGAATTTCCTTCCATTAATGAAATAATCTATTTCAGCTTTTGTTTTACTTCCAATTTCCTGAGGCTTTAACTAAGTTTTAAAATAAATATTTAGTCTTGAAGTTATTTCTTAACTCTTTTCTCCCATCTACGCTGCAACATGGTATCACCTAAGTGATGTTTATTATTTAGGTTTACAATAATCTAAAAATGTTTCAATATTGTAACTATAATTTAGCTTCCATTTACAAATAAATACATGTGGTATTTGATTTTCTGTTCCTGTTAGTTTGCTAAGGATAGTGGCCTCCAACTCCATCCATGTCCTTGCAAAGGACATGATCTCTTTCTTTTTTATGGCTGCGTAGTATTCCATGGTGTATATGTACCACATTTTATTTATCCAATTGGCCATTGATGGGCATTTAGGTTGATTTCATGTCTTTGCTATTGTGAATCATGTTGCAATAAACATATGCATGCATGTGTCTTTATGGTAGAACAATTTTTATTTCTCTGGGTATATACCCAGTAATGAAATTGCTGGGTCAAATGGAAGTTCTGTTTTTAGCTCTTTGAGGAATTGCCATATTGCTTTCCACAATGGTTGAACTAATTTAAACTCCCACAAACAATGTATAAGTATATCCTTTTCTCTGCAACCTTGTCAGCATCTGCTATTTTTTGCCTTTTTAATAAATAATACCATTCTGACTGGTATAAGATGGGAGTTAAATGATGAGAACATATAGACACAAAGAGGGGGACAACAGACACTGGGGCTTATGTGAGGGTGAAGCATGGGAGGGAGAGGAGCAGAGAAAAGAACATGGGATACTAGACCTAGTACCTGGGTGATAAAATAAACTGTACAACCCCCTATCACACGAGTTTACCTGTGTAACTAACCTACACATGTACCCCTGAATCTATAATAAAAGTTTAAAAAATAAAAATAGAAAAACAAAGAAACAAACAAGAAACTCAAAAACTGTAGTTATATCTACTTAAGGTGATTAGATACCTTCCAAAACACAGTACATTATTGGTTTCTGAGTGTGTAGTAGTCTTTAAATATATTTCCATAAGAATTATCTGTTTATCTCTCTAACCTGCTTTCACTGATAACGACTGATTGTTTGTCGAAATGTCAACTACCTTAAAGAGCAAGCCTGGAAACAATGGAAACCAGGTATTTTTTTCACTGTTTTTTTTTAATTGTTGTTGTTCATTTGTTTAATTGGTGAGGTGTTAAGCAACCTGTGGGTTCTGTGGTGATTATGATAGTGTTGTGCAGATGATCTGGACCCTGGGATGTAAGTAAAAGAAATGAACAAATCAATTTCACATATGTAACCATCCATCTCATCACAGCAGTGTTTGATACCAGCTCCAATTTTACGCCCTACCAATTTTTCTTTCTCTTTTTATGCAATGGGCCACTTCCTGAATATTGCTATATATTTGACAGGCAAATAGAATTTAACGTACTTAAAATAGTTACTTTAACATTTTCAGTGAACGCCTAACTAGAAGTTATTTGTGCAATAATCATTTGGTAACAGAATAGTCGGCTGTCTAAGCACGTATTTATCAGATACAGAATTGCTCTCACTGTACCTCAACGTCTGAGCAATTTTCTAGTAATTCTGTCAAGATGATTTCTTTTTCTAATGCCAGAGCAGCATGTGTGATTTATAAAGTAGCAAAAGGTTAATTCAGAGTTTCGTTTGTGTGCTCTTTCTGGAGGTACTAAGTCAGTGCACCTGACAGAGTTATTAATTACACTATCAACATAAACTTTTCACTTTTTAAAGTTTGAAAAGTTTCTTTGTTTTGACAAAGCCTTTTTGCTGCTGGCTAAAATGAGTGCAAACTATGTACCTACCCAGAGTTACATTATGGAGGGGATGATCAGTAAATCTAGAAGTTCTTGATTCCAGAGTCAAAATTTGCTGGAAGTCACCCTAATCACATGCAGCACTTTAGGCCCACCAAGACACAAACCACTCAGGGGTTCCACTTTTATATTTTGATTTTGACTTGCCTCCTTCCCACGAATATCAATGTAATTAGGAGCCAGTGCATGGTGCAGAAGGCTCCCATGTGCCACTCTCACCCCATGGAGGAGTGTGCCACTCTAGGAGAACACTGGCAGTGCCAACCTAATGCCCCCACTCTACCTGCTACCCTAGCGTGGGAGGAAGAAGAATGGGAGGCGGATGTCAGCCTCTCTGTCACTGGCAGGATTTGATGACCCTGTTGCGGGGTGTGCACATAGAACTGCTTCTTCTTTTTCTGGATCTAACACCATCAGCATCAATGTAAAACCACAGAACACCCAGGAACAGGTAGTGTCCCATGATGTTATCCTAGGGAGATTCTCAAAACTGTCTTAAACCTGATTGTCTCCTTCAGCTTTTTTGACAAAACAATCACATGTTCTCTACATTTAGAAGGCCTCTCCCAGTTGGCAAAGTGCCTTATTTGATATCATCCCATTTAGCCTCAGTAAAGCTATAATGGGTTGGTTGAGTATTTTTTTCGAAATGAAGGATGAATAAGCTCAGAGAGATTGAGTGACTTAC